ATATTTTCACACACATATATATATATATATATATATATATATATATATATATATATATATATATATATATATATATAAAAAGGCTTAAACACTAATATTCCATGGTCATAATTTATTCCATTGGAATCATAAATACGATCCAATTCATCAGACCTTGAACTTTATTTCAATGCTTCAATATATATATATATATATATATATATATATATATATATATATATATATATATATATATATATATATATATGAAGAAATATAGTTTTAAGTGTGCTATATTTATGGGATAAAAGTACTCATTATCAGAGATAGAGCGTGTGTAAATATAAAAAGTGAACATAGAAGTCAACACTTAGAGGCGACAGTCTGTTTCATGTTATATGTCGCCTCTAAGTGTTGACTTCTATGTTCATCTTTATATATATATATATATATATATATATATATATATATATATATATATATATATATATCAAAAGTAGTCATTTTGTTCAACACTTCTGGTGATGGTCTTGAACGTAGAATCTCTCTCTCTCTATATATATATATATATATATATATATATATATATATATATATATATATATATATATATATATATATTGTTCAGTATAAATTTCAGACATATTAAAGATGATCTTCGCCTTTCTCTAACCTTCTAATTTTCTGTCCTGGAGTAACAAGATGCCTCAGATTTTACGTCCCATTTCATTTTCAATTAATGTCCCTCTGTTCTTGAAATGTTCCCAATTGTCAACTCACGTGTCTGGCATAGATGTTAGTCACCGCTAGGGTACTTCAAGTTACCTCAGTTTCTTAGGTAATATGTTAAAAACAAATAAAATTTTCGTCTGAAAATGAAACGTTTTTCTCCCAAAATAAATGGCGGGTAACGAGTTAAGTACTGTGAGTATTTTTTTTTTTTATCTTATAATTATGTGTTTTGTACTTATTATTCATGCATTGAAATAAAAATGCACTTGTATGAGTCCTACATCCCAAGTGATATACTAACGCAAAATTAATTTCTTCTATTTTTCAGGTAAGTACATTGGTTATATTTTCAAAAAGAAATGTTTGGTTCCTGGCAGCTTTCTGGGGCGAATGATTTGACTTGAGAATTTATCATAGCATAGCAAGTGGCAAATTTTGTTTACATCTTTCAACATCGAAGGAATTGGTAAGCTTTTTTCCTCACCATTGCATTTTACTCTGAATTTTGAACAATTTTTGCACCATACTGGGTGTAACAGAAAAATTGTCCAATTGTTAGCTTAAGCTCTGAACCGTTGTGTCTTAGAAATGATTAAAGATATCTTACTGGAATTCTCCGAGGTTTATAACACTCCGGGACTCTACTTTAAGCAATAAGAATGTATAATTACTCTTTCAGCTTAACAGAAGAATCATGATGAAATCGATCATAAACGAAAATGACATGTTCATCATTAATTAATTATAGCTAAGGATCGGAAGCTCATGAAGTATGGAAATAAATTTCATATATACACACACACACACACACACACATATATATATATATATATATATATATATATATATGATATGCTTTCTCTCATATCTTTATATTTTATTTCTTTCTCTTCCCTAATTCCTCCCCTCTCCTTCCTTTAGATTTTTTCTTTTTCTTTTCGTTTTCTTCTTTTTTTATTATTTCTTTATTCTATTTTTCTTTCTTTTTTCCACATTTCCAGTAGTTTACTTTTCCTTCCTTTCCTTTTTTTTATTATATATATATATATATATATATATATATATATATATATATATATATATAAAAAAAGGCTCAAATACTAATATTCCATGGTTATAATTTATTACATTGGAATCGTAATCACGATCCAATTCATCAGATTTACAAATTCAAAATGAAATCGGAAGATATAACTCTGAGTTTCTGAGAAGAGGTATTTTATCTATTTACACTATTTTCCTTCTTTGGACTGTTGAACTCATCTTTATTGTCACATTCATGGCGTTTCAGTTTTTTGTACGCTCCGGCCTCCTTCAGGTGATATCTGTTGAAATTTTAAATCAAACCCTTTATTTAGTCTGAAGCATTTAGTTCAAAGGTATGTGGAATCAGAACAGTCTAACACCGTGGACTCTAGTAAAGCGACCGGAAGGCGACAAAGGCTGAGATGCCAGGTCATGACTGATAACATTGCCTGCTCTTAGATGAGGGTGAATGGAGTCTATCTGAGCCTTGTTTGGCAATCCATTTAGTGATGGTGTCACGATAAAAACACCCTTGATAGCCCTAGCGAAGCATCAAGAATTCAGCTATTTGACAAGATTATGAACTACATCAATCAAAGTATTGGTGAGTTCAATCTCGGCTGAGGCCGCAAGATGATGATAGACACAAAATCTGTTGAGCGCCACCAAGGGATGGAGAAAGTGGAGAGCCATGATCGCCTACGTCCTGAAAAGACACGACGATCATGAACTCCCTATGATCACCAACCCTAAAAGAAAAAGAAATTGCATTTGCGTGGAAGTAATTTCAACTTTCAAAATCAGACTGATTTAAATAGAAGGCACGCGGGATTTCTGGCTTAAATCTGGCTTTCAACTAAAGCGGCGAGTTTTAACGCTTTCAGCGTAGAGTTCTTTCTTTTTATTTCTCTGGTGTGTGCAGGCCAATAATAAAACCATTGGACTCTCCAGATATTAAATAGTACTGCCGCAAAACAAATATCAATTGCAATGTTGCCCGGAGGGTAAAATGAAGTCAAGGCGCGAAATCCAAAAGGAATAGTAAATCTGACTGGTTCGATAAAATCAAATTAGCAGCTGATCTTGAAAATGACCTTCAATCTGTTGTTAACAGGGACAAGAAATGGCTTGTGAATTTTATCGCCTCGAAAGCGAAACTACTCTGTTTTAATCATTTTAGAGAACTTTTTTTTTTTTAATTCTTAAAAATGGCCGATCTTAGGATCGGCCATTTTTAAGAATTCAAAAAGAAAAGTTCTCTAAAATGATAAAATTCTTACAGATCAGATCATTACGTCTTTTCAGGTTTTCTGTTGATATTGAAATGTAATGATCAATACTGAATCAGATACTAGGTCTGCTCGCTAGGAAAATTTGGTTTACTATGTTGGGCTAGACTTCTTTTTATCACGCCAGAATCTAACTTGCATATTTATAAATCAACCATTCGTCCATGCATCGAATATTGCTGACACGTCAGTTCTAGCTTTCATGCTATATATCTGGAAATTCTTGAAAAATTCCGAAAAAGAATCGCCAATGTTATCAGTGAAGACCTGAGTGGAAGTAATTTCTAAGTCCTCATCGTTGTTTACACGCTCGGTCCATGATATCCTGAGCATCCTTCTGTAGAACCACATCTCCGTCGCCTTGAGTCTCTTCTTCATCTTTGAGGAAATCGTCCATCATTCGCTGCCGTAAAGAAGGACAGATGTCACGTAACATGTCATGAGTTGTATTCCTTTGTTTCTCTCTCCCCTTATTCGATTCGTGAGTATCAGATTCTCCAGACCCTCCTTCCTTGTCCTAGAAACTTCAGCTGTCTCTTCCTGATATTAAGTATAAGCCTCCTCCTTGCTTGCATCCTCTCTAAGAAATCATCATTGCTCACATGCAGGGTCCATGATATCCTCAGCATCCTTCTGTAGAACCACTTCTAATATATTAATAAAGATAATACAGAAATCTCCAACCAAACCTCAATTATCTTCTCAAGGTCACACATTGTTTTCCTTTGTCTCTCTTTCCCTCTATCCGCCCCGTGAGTATCAGATTCTCCAAACCTTCTTATGTGTCCCAGAAACTCAGTTATCTTCTCAAGTTCTTTCTTTTCTTTCTATGTGCCGTGTCCTTTCAGGACGTAGGCGATCATGGCTCTCCACCTCTTTCTATCCCTTGCAGCTCTCAACAAGTTCCTTCCCTCTACCTCCTCCCGTAGACCACGTTCTGTCATCCACTTGCTTTAAGCCCGCTGGGAATGTCACGCGTTGTTTCCCCTTGTCTCTCTTTCCTTCTATTCGACCTGTGAGTATCACATTCTCCAGGCCCTCCTTCCTCATTGTGTCTCCCAGGAACTTCAGCTGACTCTTCTTGATGTTAAGTATAAGCCTCCTTCTTTGTTTGCATCCTCTCTAAGTCCTCATCGTTGATCACACGCTCGGGCCATGATATCCTCAGCATCCTTCTGTAGAACCACATCTCCGTCGCCTTGAGTCTCTTCTTCATCTTTGAGGAAATCGTCCAACATTCGCTGCCGTAAAGAAGGACAGATGTCACGTAACAGCTCAGTATTCTTTTCTTTGTTACCAAAGAAATCATGCTGTCTCGCAATACTCTACCCAGCTTTTGGAATACGTCCTGGGCCATCCCAATATGTCTACGGATCTCAGTGTCGCATTTACCGTCCTCTGTCAGGATGCTTCTCAGATATTTAAACTTCCGAGTCTGCTTGATTCTAGTGTTCCCAACCTGCACAATCGCATTTCGGGATCAACCTTTTACTGTGACCATGCATTCTGTCTTCTTGTAGTCTGTGCTTAGTCCCTTCTTCACACTCTCCGTCTACCTAAACAATAATAATACTGAATAATTTTATTTTTAAACATTAAAGTATATTTAATCGCATATCTCTAATAGCTGTCGCGATCTGTAAATACGGCACAAAAACCTGGGAGACTTTTCAATATTTGAACACAGACGGAATCATTTCTACCATTTTGCCTTTGGTCAAGACACAAACTGCATAGCATATTGTTTCGCTGAATGGTAGCAAGATGGCGTGTAAAAATGTTTGATCCTCCGATTGAAACCGACTTTTACGGGGCAACGACTGATAAATCACTGGACTGCGATAATATACGACGTGGTTTATATGGGCCTCAAATATTTCGTTGTGTCATAAATTTTCTTGAAAAAAAAAGAACATCAGATAAGGAAGTTAAAAGAACCTTTGTTATCCGCACTTCACAAAGAGCGTAGATCTTTTATGAGGATGAAAAATGACGATAAAGAGAAGACTTATGAGCAAATCTGGAATGGTTATTATTCTTGAAGAACAAGAGGCTAGTCTGCCTCGGAGTCTCAGGACATAGACTAGAAGTCAAAATACCGTATATAATTACAATCGATACATAGGAAGGGAAACGAATAGAAAGGTAGATAGTAAAGTCGGTGAGATAGATAGATAGATAGATAGATAGATAGATAGATAGATAGATAGATAGATAGATAGATAGATAGGCAGAGACACAAAGAGAAACTGAACATAGATAGAGAGACTGAGAGAAAGAGAAATAGAGAGACATTGGAGAAAGAAAGAAAGAAAGAAAGAAAGAAAGAAAGAAAGAAAGAAAGAAAAAGAAACTGAAGCTGCTTAGATAAATAGTGAGAGAGTGTGATAGACATAGATAGATAGATAGATAGATAGATAGATAGATAGATAGATAGAGTTTTAGAGAAACTGACGATAGATAGATAGATAGATAGATAGATAGGTAGATAGATAGATAGAGTTTTAGAGAAACTGACGATAGATAGATAGATAGATAGATAACATACTGAAATTGATAGATAGATAGATAGATAGATAGATAGATAGATAGATAGATAGATGAAAGAGTTTTAGAGTAACTGACGATGTTTAGATAGATAGATAGATAGATAGATAGATAGATAACAAACTGAAATTGATAGATAGATAGATAGATAGATAGATAGATAGATAGATGAAAGAGTTTTAGAGAAACTGACGATGTTTAGATAGATAGATAGATAGATAGATAGATAGATAGATAGATAGATAGATAGATAACAAACTGAAATTGATAGATAGATAGATAAATGAAAGATAGATAGATAGATAGATAGATAGATAGATAGATAGATAGATAGATAGAGATAGAGTTTTAGAGAAACTGACGATAGATAGAAACATACTGAAATTGATAGATAGATAGATAGATAGATAGATAGATAGATAGATAGATAGATAGATGAAAGAGTTTTAGAGAAACTGACGATGTTTAGATAGATAGATAGATAGATAGATAGATAGATAGATAACAAACTGAAATTGATAGATAGATAGATAGATAGATAGATAGATAGATAGATAGATAGATAGATAGATAGATGAAAGAGTTTTAGAGAAACTGACGATGTTTAGATAGATAGATAGATAGATAGATAGATAGATAGATGACATAGACAGATAGATAGAAACTGAAGATGCATTGATAGAGAGAAAGAGAATAGATATATACATGCCAAGAGAGAGAAAAAGATTGACATAGATAGATAGATAGATAGATAGATAGATAGATAGATAGAAACTGAAGATATTTAGTGAGTGAGTGTTTGAGAAAGGAAAAGATTGACATATATAGATAGATAGATAGATAGATAGATAGATAGATGAAAGAGTTTTAGAGAAACTGACGATGTTTAGATAGATAGATAGATAGATAGATAGATAGATAGATAGATGACATAGACAGATAGATAGAAACTGAAGATGCATTGATAGAGAGAAAGAGAATAGATATATACATGCCAAGAGAGAGAAAAAGATTGACATAGATAGATAGATAGATAGATAGATAGATAGATAGATAGATAGAAACTGAAGATATTTAGTGAGTGAGTGTTTGAGAAAGGAAAAGATTGACATATATAGATAGATAGATAGATAGATAGATAGATAGATAGATAGATAGATAGCATAGCATAATGAAATACAGATAGATAGAAAGTGAAAATGCCTTGGTAGAGATAAAGAGAATAGATAAACACATGCAGATATATACAGAGGAAAAAATTGACATAAATAGATAGATAGATAGATAGATAGATAGATAATTTTTATCGTTCTGTTGTCGAATTATTTACATCCCCATCCACTGACATCAAGTCTTGTTTTTGTATCGACATTAGAGGATTCGACATTCTGAAACACCACAGACACTGGCCGAAAAGACGAATTATACGCGGCTGCAATTTCATGTAAACAAAACCAAAAATACGAGGGCGACTGAAACCACATAAAATGATTGAAACCTTCGTGCCCATCGGAATTCTATTGTAACAGTTATATGTTATGGATACATTTATTACAGACATTTATGTCTTGAATCAAATTCGTGGTTTGTCTCAAACGGTAAGGGCATCGAGTCCAATTGAGCAGAAGAATGTCTTTCAGGATTATGTGAAAAATGTAGAACCGAAAAAAAAAATAAATAAATAATTATTCGGATTGTTATCCTCATTGCCATATCACGACGTTTCGGCCTTCTTCAGGTGACCGAAATTTCGAACCGAACCCATTATTTCGCCCACCGGGGCATGATTGTTCTAGTTCCACATGCCATGTCTCTTCCGGGTGTCTCATTTAAATCCCTTTTTACTCAACTCTCTAAATGTTATTGGTTCACTACTGCTGCAGCCTGGTATTAAATTAACAACTCTTTCGGTCTAGTCATTGGATATAACCAACGTCTTTATCCACTGGGCCATGTTTCCTTGATGAGATCTGTGTAGGAATGTCTGGGACTTATAAAGCTAATGTCTCAGCAACCTTTTTTTTTTTTTTTACCAGTGATCATATTGCAATTTTTCCGTTATTGTTATTGCATATTTTTCTGTTATTGTTGTTGCAAACCAGAGCTTATATTGCAATTTTTGAATCACCTGAAGAAGGCCGGAGCGTCCAACGGCTGAAACGTGAATATAGCAATGAAGATGATGATAAAAGTCCGAATAATATAAACAATCTTGATACCTCATCTCAGAGATATAGACAAAATGCTTTATATTTTAATTTCTAGACAAAAAAGAAATTATAAAATAAACTAAAAATGAAAAGTGTGGACAATCAACCTCCCTTTCTTTTCTGGAGTTTGTATCCGAAACTATTGAGTCTGATTATACAAATTTGATTAAATATATATATTGCCCGACGATAAAGTGTAGTCATTTCAACGCATACGGATATATACCATTTCACTGTCGAAACTATTAAATGTAGCCGTCTCTTCTACTCCAATAGCTTCATATCTCGCACCTCTCGCCTGTGGAACTCCCTTCCCTATTCCAGTTTCGCTGAGAGCTATAATCTCCAACTATTCAAATGTAATGTCAATCGACATCTCCAGTTGTCTTGATCTATCCACTATCCTTCTCCTCATCCTTTCGTCTATCACTCCTATCTGATCTTGCTCCAAATCTTCTGTAACCCCTTGCGTCCTAGTGGCTTCCGCCTTGCTTGGAGTGAAACGCTTAAAAAAAAAAAAAAAAAAAAAAACTTAAAATGATTACTTGGTTACTTATTTAATGCATCATTTTACTTACTTGCGTGCGGCTCGAAATGGGAAATCGTAGTGTCGAGTTCGAATTCCAGCTGGGCTCGTTACACTCACGTGTGCGCAAATATCCTTCTCTTCTCCCCACCTCCCAAGCGATGCAGGGGGGGTGGGCAGACTAAATTCTGTAACCTTCTTTGGCTGGCAAACATTCTAGTTGCCTTGATCTATCCACTATCCTTCTCCTCATCCTCTCCTCTATCATTACTATCTGCTCTCGCTCCAAAACTTCTGCAACCCCTTGCGTGCTAGTGGCTTCCCGCCTTGCTAGGGGTGAAATGCTTTAAAAAAAATATATATATATATATATATATATTGCAGTTTTCTTTGCAAAGCACCAGTTTCGATACTTTTTGATAAGACCTCATATATATAACGTTTGCTGATAGAAATGTGAAAAGTGTATATAAATATAAATAAATATATATATGTATAATTATTTATATATTATATGCGCGGTACTTATTAAAAATTTCCCCCACCACTTCCACAATAACACCAATACACGCAATCTACATAAACCCAATTTTAAAAAAAAATTAATCAGTTTGTCTGACGATCGCTAAAGCGTGAAACCCAGGGTCACAAACTCACATCTATCCAACCAAATATATATATATATATATATATATATATATATATATATATATATATATATATAGTAGTTATAGATTTACATTGAAATCGGTAAATATACAGCGACGTTTACCTTTACATTTAAATGTTTAATTATTTGAGTTCTTGTGTATCGGAATATATCATTTAGCCGATCTCATTCTTGTTTCTATGAACTATATTTTCCTTATTTTACCATGTATAACGCGCACTTTCTACACAAGCACAAATATAGACGATAAAAAATAAATATTAAATCACTGAAAAAATAAAAAAAGTAAACGATAAATGATAAAAAATAAAGCAAACAATAAAAACAAAATAAAATAAGCGATAAAAAATAAAATAAATAAAAAATAAAAAATGAACGATACGAAATAAAGTAAACAAATGAAAAAAAAACAAAATAAACGATAAAAAAATAAAACAAACAATAAAAACAAAATAAACGATAAAAATAAAATAGTTAAATGAAAAAATAAAATAAATGAAAAATAAAACAATTAAAATAAAATAAAATAACCGATACAAAACAAAATGAATGAAAAAAATTTAACATTTAATTACAAATTTGAACATAACGAAAATATGGTTTATCTTGGAGAATCTTTTCTGATAACTAATTTTTATTGTATATTTTTTTGTTTCTACAGAAAAAAGGTCTGGTGTATATTTGTTTGTGAAAAATTAACTTTTGTTTTTGCGTTACGATTTTAAAATTCTTTCAGATCTTAGCCGTTGCTGATAAACTTGTTAAAAAATAAAAATGAGTTTGAAGATTCAAAAAAAAACATTTTTTTTTTTTTTTTTTTCATTTTATAACTATTTCATTTTTAATTCTACGGAAGATATAAAATTAAAATTAATATTAAAATTCTGAATTATGTTCCGTAAAAAACATTAGAGGCCAACAAAAACGTTTGCTGATAGAAATTTTGGCTTTGTTGCCATTTTCAATTATGTTTTGAAATACGATAAAGTTAATGAAATTAGTTGGATACAATAGAAGTTAAGGTGACGCAACTATCCTGAAAAATATTTCCATAATGTTTCCTAATAACCTTTTCAATAAGAAAATAAAATTATGAATGAATAAATGCTGAACTTTTCATCGAAAGCGGATAATTGCCTAATTTTTTCAGCTTATATAGGGTTTCCATGTTATTTTTTCTTTCGTGGTGAGGGGCAACTTATTCAGGTGATATTCGTCAGAATTTAGAACGAACCCTTTATTTTGGCTTGTTAAATGAAATTAGAACAGTCTACCCCCGTGGAATCGGTATATAGCTACAGAGGGGAATGTGGCACAAGGCCGGTTTAACGTAGGTTTTTTTCAAGCCCATCGGCCGAGGCAAAAAAATTCCCCGTAGAGCCCGTAATAACGAGGTCGGGTTTGTCTACCTCCCGAGACGAGACTCCGCCCTTCGGTATAGCCTCGTTTGGGTTCCTCTCTGCCCGAAGCCGGAGAGTTCAACAAGCGCTAAGAGTTTAGCGCGCGGCTAAGACATAATGTTAATGCTACTCCCGAGGACTGGATAAGGGGTTCGGTTCAAAATTCCAACAAATATCACCTGAAGATGGCCGGAGATTACAACGGCCGAGACGTGGTGAATGCTACAATAAAGATGAGGAAAACAGTACGAACAAGGTCTAGTGGAAATAAAGAGATTTTCGGTTGTCGTAGACTTCTTATGCTAACACTTAGTGTTTTTTATTTATTTATTCATAGTGTAATTCTGCCGGTTGAATGCCCCTTTAGGTCTCGATGAACCAGGATACACATTGTACTTTCTCATGCGATGTTGTTATTTTTATTAAAGTCAGGGTTCAATGATAAGCACTTTTCAGATCTATATACAAATTAAAACTTAACAATATATCTTTAACACGCAAATAGGCCTACTGATGGATCTTGGATCTCCGGAGTCTCCGTGGGAGTTATTTTTAAAAATCATTTCAACCCAATCAAAGCAGTAAGGCCATTAAGATGTAAGGGATTGCTAGATAACATAGAATATGAAAAAAGAACAGACTATTAAGGAGCAAGACCAATAAGAGTAATCAAAGAAAACAGAAAATAACGACTGACATTGCACTTGGAAAGCAAGAGTCCGGGAGAGAGTTCCACAAGCGAGAAGTGCGATATAAGAAAAATTCGGGCAAGAAGCCGGAAAAGAGTTCTACAATCCTTCCAACCAGAATAAGATTCACGTTAAGTGAACGTAAACTATCTCAATACAATACATATATGATGGCCGTGATGTGCAAGAGAAGAAACTGTTAGCATAGAACTTACGGTTGCAACTAGTCATTTCCGCTGTCACATGATTGAGATCTTGCTGCCAATCTTGCACTTCGCATAAAATCATAAAGCCTTGGTAACACAGAGGAAGGTTCATCAGAACAATTACTATAAAAATATTTATAGAAAAGGCGTTGGGAAGCTATGTTCTGGCAGTCGGAAAGCGAATGATGGCGAGATGCTAGGTTAGGACTAATAACATTGCAGATTCTTCTTTCTATTTTGTCAAGATTTTCAAAATATGTAGAAGTAATATTCAATGCAAGGACTTGAAGCGATTTACTAAGTGAAGCGTAGATATATCACGAGACTGAAAATATGAAATCCCCAGTGAGGATTGAAATCACGCGTACAGACGAACTTTCTAACCATGACCCCACGTTGAACTGGTAAACTTATAAATGTGTAAGATAGTTATAACATGTTTAGCACAATACAGTGGGCCAACCTTCCTATCAGTAGAGAGTCTTTAATATGTAAAGAATTGCATTGATGGATATTAATTGAGAGCTGTATATATCATTTACGGGCATTGTTTACTGGTTGTTAGCCAGTCTGGTAGAAGGCTAACACATTGGTGTTCCGAAGCGATATACGTGTTTTGAATTGTGCGTTGTGTGTTGCATATGAACACTCAACAGACGACACGCACTACA